TACCAGCGAGTTCTACTGTAGCAGCCGCCTAATACAGTTGTACGGTGACAGCCGCCGAGTTATAAAGTAACAGCCAGCCGACTACAAGTTGGAGTATAGCAGCCGTCGCGGAAAGAAGATCCGGACGTGTGTGTAATTGTGTAATTGGGAGCGTGTGATACAGTGATACCTAGCTCCCCTACTGTAAACGTGTAGACTACTGAAGACAGAGTGAACTGATTTGCGCATAGGGTTATAAGTCGTGAAACCCCGCAACAGTGTCGACAGATTAATGCGATTAGGGTTATAAAGTGTGAAACCCCGCAACTGTGTGATAATTAAGTGTAGCCGTTATTTGTAGATTGTTAAATAAACCAGTTAACGATCTCTACGGCGTCTTCAGTAACGCAAACACGTTACAATATGGAACCAGAAACATCCAGAAAACATACACATCACAGTCATGACAACATATAGACAACAAAAGAAGAAAGAATGTAGAAGAGCACGCAACACATCATTTTAAAATTATTTTAAGAAGAATCCATCATGCAACCCCACAGAAAGAAAGTTAATGGGATGACATTGAGAGAGTGAGCAGGTCAAACCACTGGTCCACCTCTTCCTATCCATTTTCCTTCATAATCTTCATTCAGAAATTCCATTTCTTGCCTGCCAAAATGCAGAGGTGTTTCATCATGTTGGAGGCACACTTATGTCTATCTTTCAAGAGGCAGATCCCCCAAATGCAGTGATAATTCATTTTCCAGAAAATGTTTTGCCATGTGGAATTATGTGATATGTACATTGTTTCTGGTATTGCACCCCAGCAGCCCTACCATTTCCATTGCAGAAGCCAAACATGAAATGTCTGCCGATATATTTTTTGCTTATAAATGTGTTAGGCATTTTGACCACTGCAACACAACACAGTCACACTGGCCTACACAGTGTAGAAGCAGGAATTCAGTCATATTACAGCAGTTCCAGCTCACTCCACTAGTACTTAATTCGATATTGATATCAAATCAACCTATAGTTTATTTTTTATTATTATTTATTATAAATTACCTGCAGAACATGCTTCTGAAGTTTGACCAATATGTCATGGAACCCTCTGTATATCAAATGCTCAGTTAATGCAACAGAATGCTCAATTAGAGCTTTTCCTGACACTGGGGCAACATTAGCCTTCAATCAAATGAGCAGTTGTATATCTCTGTCAGTGCTTCCATTCACTTACAGTTTCATCCTGGGGAAAACAAAGAATTCTGTGTAGTGTAGATTTTGTCCTATGCCCTGCTAACAAGACATGACTTTATATAACTAGATAAGTATTTATGATAATTATGAAGCATGTTTAGTTAAATGTACACAAACATTGAAGTGATTGTTGCAGAATTGCAACTGTTTTTGTTTGATACTTCAAAATCAAATACTGTCAATACAGGTATCACCTGAAATTCAAAGTATACGACCGCAAACACACCCAGACAGATGTGCCTGCCAATGTGACAGTGACAGTGCGAGAGATTCCTCATGAAGCTGTGATCAACTCTGGCTCAGTGCGGATTGCAGGACTCACAGATGAGGATTTTATTAGGGTATGGAACTACCGGGTAAGTATGATCTTTGGGTCATTGCATAAGTATCTGTGTCAGAAGTAATATTACTAAAATTGTAAGCTGCTTGCTTCTTGTAGTCGTGGTTTATAATTAATGTTGGTTTTCTGGGGACTTGATGAGTACGGTTCCAAAAAAGCGTAGAAGAAAAATGTGTGGAAATGGTACTTTTGCCATGCTTCGATTTAAGAAATAACACAAAGCATTAACACGAATCTGGTCATGTGTACTCTTTCTAAAAAACGCTCGGTAAAATGATAAGTTTTATTCCACCAACACAACACTATAATTCGCATTCTTGATTGTATCCAGTTCCAGTTGTTGTAGTGCATTATTAAATTGCATAATTTTTTCATATTCAGAAAACTGTGTATAAATATTTGTAATGTAATTATGATACAGATATCATAGACAAGTAACACAGTGTAGAAATAGATAGTACAACTACCAGAATTGATTCATGTCACACACCTCTGAAAATACTACGTTGTAAGCATACAGACAGAAGATCACCGGATGACCCATGAAACACTAGAATGACCAGTTCTAAGCTAATTTCAAATTGATTTTTAAAATTAATGAAGTTGAAATAAGTATGATAGCCCAGACTAGTACAACTGACAATGACGATGACAGCGGTGGTAGTCATGGGGATGGTGAGGTGTTTCTATTCAATTGCACATTTAAATCTCCAGTTTATGCACATGCTATCTCTTTATATAACAATCACATGCTTGACCACTGTCTCTCTGTCTGTCCATCCATCCCATCCTGTTTTTTACAAGTGGCATGTCATAGAAAAAACAGTAATGACAAAAGATTTTCGTCTTGGAAGGACAGACCTGAGAAAATTGTTAATTTCCTGTTATGTGCATGTGTTTGATTCCAAATCAGTTTCTTCCTCCATAAGGAAATCACGAGACTGTAACAACAATAAATACATAACCTTCTTATGTTTAGTGAGGTAACTTAGTTATGTGGTCAAAAGCCACTTGAGCCAGTATGATGTTGGAACAGAATTTTCTTTATAAGACTTGCTCCACAAGAATTGTGCTCTGAAGTTTACAAAAATGATGTGTTTGATTTCAAGCGCCCATACAGTTTGAATGAAAGTAAACTTCACAAACCACTTTTTTGTCTGTCTCTCAAATTGCAGTGCAGATTTTTTTTGCATGTGTGATTGGTTGGATGCGTGTGCATGTTCAGGTGTACACACATGCACCTAGCCAGTCACACATGCATGCACATGCACACCCATGCGCGTACACACACGCACACACATACACACACACACAAAATCAAACATATGTACATGTAGCCCATGCTGCTTCTCCTAAATTGCATGTCATAGAAAAAATGGTTTATTAAAGAAAGTCTTGTTGGATAGAGAGCCCTTCAAAATTACTGAGTTTCTTATAGTTTAAAAATTGGGAGCAGGGGTGTCAAAAACCTTATGTTAGATGTGTAAACTGTCCTGTTTCACGCAGACTGCGCATTGCAGAAAGAATGCTGAATATAAGAAATTTTCCTCTTTGTGAGCTTTCTTTGGCAAAAGAATTGCTCTTTTTTCTGTTTTAAAGAGACATGGATGCAAAAAAAAAAAAGGCCAATACAGTGCACAACTAATATCTGTTTGGGTCCAAGAACCTAGAGCTCTTAAATGTAAGTAGCCACCACAAAGAACAAAATAATTTCTGAAGTTGCAGTGCAGACTTTTTCTGCATGATCCCTAGTACTTAACATATACAATTGTTCATTGTGTTAGGCATCAGGATTTTGTTTTCTGTGGTACTTACAATGCCAATATCAATTTTTTATTTGCTTGTAGCATATTTTTACCAACTGACAGTCCTGGGTTTCATTGTTTATCAGTGCAAACTATAAGGTGGACTTATATGAAGGGGATGCTTATAAGTAATATGGGATTAATTTAAACAGTTTACTCAAATGTTACTATCTTTATTAGCATATAAAATGTAGGATTTGAGGTTTTCACAGCAGTGACTGTGAAGAATACCATCCTCTGGGATGTGGCACTGCTCATGCTGGTTCCTTGCTCATGGATTTTTTCACCTTGAAGATGGAGGTGAAACGTTCCTCCTAAACATCCGTTCACACAAGATCTGCATAGTGTCTCATCGCAGAAGATGGTATTCTTCGGCGTATAAGATGTTTTCCGGCTTGATAATGGCATTATAATTTTGAAATATATGGTTGAAAAATACAAATATTAATGTAGCAGTAGTGGTAGTTGTTTTGATGGAGTAAAGTTTTTAATTTTACAAATGCTCAAGAACAGGGTGGAGTACTCTAATACAACATCTTCAGTTACAGCATTAACACATATTTGCGTATTTTTTTTAACTTCTTCCCCATAAGGTCATAAAAATTAAACTACATCCTTTTTGCACTAGATGTTTCATATGTTTCTCCTATTCACTTATTACAGAATTATATTAGAAAAATTATCATAAACAGAACATTTGAAATCATTAATAGAAGAACACTGTTTATTGCTCCTTCCATTACAGTCACAGAGTCTGCAACGCAGCAAGGCAGACCGTTTCCGAGACAAATTGGCTGACCTGCTCAACACAGAGAGAGAATTTGTAGATGTATTCAGTGTACAGTTACGACGAAAACACCCGCCTGTGACTGACATTCGATTTGCTGCTCATGGATCTCCCTACTACAAACCAGTACGACTCAATGGCCTTGTACTAATGCATAGAGAAGAGGTAAGCAGAAACAGATTTCAGCACAGCTTTAGTAGTTAGAGTGTTTCTGCATTTTGAATTATGTAGTAATTTTAATATGATTTGAAGAAACATACTTAAATTTAGACAGTCATCTTTTTCCTTATATTTGTTAACCATTTAAAACACAGTGGCTACAATATCTACCACTAAAAATTGCGTGTTGCCCACTGAGTGTATTTACATGTTTAGTATAATTCTCAGCAAATGGAAGTAATTTCCATAAACATCATTGATCTGTTGGTGTTTTTAATGGAAGTAAAGTACGTTTTCTATGAAGTAGGAATTGAATTTTAATATATTATTTAATTTGAGTTCATAATTCAATGGGATAATACAAGTAATTATTAACTAACTTCATTCTACCATGAAAAATTCCGTTTAATATTATTTTGTAGAAAGCGATAATAAATATTTAAATTAGCAATGAAAGAAAAAATTTAAATAGAACATGACAGTATTTAGTGCATGCAGATGATTTATTGATACTTGAAAGATCAGTGAGAGTGGTTGAAGAAATATTAGCACAGCTAAAAAGTGAAACATTAAAGATTGGGCTGTATGTAAATGCAAATAAATGTAAGAACATGAGAATTATGAGGAACTCACCCGACCTCGAAGAGAATTTGAATATTGGTGGTCATGTTTTTGAAGACGACAGAATGTTTAAATATTAGATGCTTTGATAAGAGGAAATTTAATGAATAAATCTAGATGAGAATCACTGCAGACAGTTGGCATTGTTACAGTTTATAACATATTTTTAGGTCTAGAGCTGTGAGCAGAAAATCAAAAATTAAAATTCAGAGAATAATATTGAAACCAGTTGTGACATATATGTGTAAAACATGAACCATGGCTGAAAGTGATGAAGTTACATGAACTAGTAACTGAGTAGGGGGTTTGTGAATTTAGAATGTGCCAAGAGCAGAAGGAATTGTATAAGACTTCTGATCTGGTAGCAGATATTAAAAAGAGGACTTTGAGTGGGTAGAATGTGTTCATAACAGTTGAAACAAGGATGGTAAATTTCCTGAAGTAAACTCAAAGTTAGAATAAAAGTAGGAAAGGCTCAGATTGAGGTGGCTGGAAGATGTTGAGAATAATTTGTGAGAGCTAAAAGTGAAGAGATGAAGGAGTGGAGGAGACCACATTTAAATCCCTACAAACAGTACGACATGATTGCTGACCCTCCATTTGTCTAATAACTTCCATCTTTTTTTCTATTTTTATAGATTTGCATGGTCTTTTAGTCACATTTACACTGGCAGTTGCACTTCCACACTTATGACTGGACATGATTCATTTTTATGTTTTATTTTAATGCACAAACTACTAAAAAAATTTAAAGCACAGTATTAATGTATGCAATAAACTGCTACAATATTCAACTTCACAAATCAAGTTTTCAAATAAATTTACCATCAAGTAATGAGTGACTGCCACACCCAACATCGTACTGTGTAGAGAATGAGCATGTACAGTTCATACCCAAATGTAGCATTACCAAGAATGCATGCCCAGTAGCACTATGCAAAGACTTTCCTTGGTAGCGGGAGCACAATATAGAATTTTCCAGAATGTGGGGGGAACATAGGAAATTACTAGAAAGTTTTCAAATCAGTGTATATCAAATCATCATGAACCAAAGGCCCACTGTATAATTTTGTGCATTCTCCTGTTACTTCTTCTCTCTTCAATCTGGTATTCTCTTGAGCACTTCATTCTCAAATACTCTAGATGTATTATATTCATTCATTATTATGGTCATTAATGTCATCATGACAATCACAAAAACAGGTTAAGCATAACATCTTTAGCATAAGTGTAGCTTATGTTATGTCAGTCTCTCAGCCAGAACACTTATGAGCTCTGATTAACATGGCATTTGCAGATTGAGAAAGATGTTGGTATCAACATCACAATGGTTGGTATTGATGAGTGCCTGTATGAGAACCAAATGTGTGAGGGCAGTTGTACCAACACCCTGGACATCAGCACGCTACCATACATGGTTAACGCCAACAAAACCTCGCTGGTTGGGGTGCGAGTTGATGTGATCGCTGAGTGCACATGTGGAGCTCGTAACTTCACCAAGAGCGAGTCTTGTCGCACTAATCCTTGTTATAATGGAGGTCGATGTATTGAAGGGAGATATGGCCTTAGGTAAGTTTTGTTGTCATTGTTGTTGTTGTTCTTGGTGGTGGGGGTGGTGTTTGTTGTGGTGGAGGTGGCAGCACACTTTTAATATGTATTAATACACAGGGGTACTTATTGTTTGTATTCAAGTCACTATGTGATTTTGGGTTCAGATCCTGTTTCTTGATGTTTGATTTTAATTTTAGTTATTTTACCTTCTGCCCTAAATGCTTGAAAACTCTCTCATGCAAGTTAACCGTTTCTGGCCTTAGTGCTTGCAAGCATTCATGTTTTTAATGTCTCCTAGTGACGTCTGAGTTGCTGACATCTTGATGACTTTTAGGTCATATGGCATATGTTGGCAATATTTCTTTTACTCATAACGACTCCTCTTCTTGAGTTATTTGATATAACATGAGATAGTCTAAAATACGTATAATTTTGTGAAGTGATATTTTTAAGTCTGATATTACAGTTTGTCTGTGAGTATATTATGAACAGGAATAGGTTAATTCTGGTAACTGACTTTTTATTTGATTGTTTTGTTGTTGCAAGGTCTTCGAATTTAAATGTTATCTATATGATCGTGGATTTGGGTAAATGATTCCCAGGTATGGTAGTGTTATAATGCCAAATGTTCCAGTTGTTCGTGTCCAAGTGGCTACAATGGTCCTCGATGCCAACAGACTGCACGGAGTTTCCGTGGTAGTGGTTGGGCATGGTATCCACCGCTTGACATGTGTGACAACTCCCATCTTAGTCTAGAATTCATCACAAGAAAAGCAGATGGCATGTTACTTTATAATGGACCAATAGTACCTCCAGAAACAGATGAAGTTTTGGTTTCAGGTAAATCAGTACTTTTAGATTTATGTGTTCATCATATCTTGGTTATGATAACACATTTAGACTTGTGATTGTAAGCTTCTGGTATTACATTTTCTCCGGTTATGACTGCAGCTGGAAGCTCCATTGTAGCCACATGTCTTATCATTTTTCTTATTGTTTAATTCTCAGTCAATTGATGGGTCTCAGAATGTACTCATAGAATCGATAAACAACAGCTTAGGCAGTATGTACACTTATCTTTTTAATATATCAGTATTTCTGTGTGTGTTCAAAAACATGTTTTTAAAATCTTGCTACTTGGTCAGATTGTCTAACTGGATGTGAATGTGTGAAGATAATGGTATTCTAGAATTATGTGGCCTTGGTCTCTTCTGATATATGGTCCATATATGTAATGCCAAATGCAGTTATTTCCCTGGCAATTCATTACCTTAAATTTATGATGTCTAAGAATAAAATATCCTTATATTGATATCCATTTTCCCTGATATTGTTATTGTGGTCCTTGTTTGAACTCAGTAATGCTAACATAGCAATTCACAATTTGTATTATGACATATTTATGTGTTGCATAATTGTTAATAATATGTCAGAAACTTCTGAAGTGAAATTTATTATGTACCCCTGTTTTAGAATTCTGGCTACATGTCTTATTTAGAAAAGGTTATGAAGCTCTGTGTGTGACAATGATATGTTAATATTGAGAAAGATACGCTTGACTTTTATTTCAGATTTCATATCTCTGGAACTAGAAAGAGGCACACCTAGGTTGCTCATAGATTTTGGTTCAGGTACTCTGGAACTAAGAGTGAAAACTAAAAAATCTCTGGATGATGGTGAATGGCATAGAATTGATGTCTTCTGGGATACAGAGGTAGGAATATTCAGAGAAAAGAAACACCATAAGAACAAAGTTCTTCTAATAGAGATATGCTGGTAGTAACATAATGGTAAAATCATATATACTTCGATATTTAAAATCTGTAAGCCTAATATGTGTGCATCTTCATTGTGTATTCATTGTAATGGGAATGTATATTTGTGTAAAAAAATACAGATGGATGACTGAGAAGTGAAAGAACCCTTAGAGACTAAGATCCTGGACATTGTTGAAAGATATCACCAGATATTTTATTGACAAAGTAAATTTGCTCAGGAGAAATGGACGTATGCTTTGAAAGTTCATCATATTGTGACACGATGCCTCAAAGTTGGAGTTGTCCATTGCTAGACAACGGCTCGCCACGAAATTAATGCATGTTTCTGCTACAATGGAAATTCCAAATAGTCCATTGCTAGGCAACGACTCAGTAAGCATGTTCCCACAGCAACAAATAGATGCAGTAACAGACGAACTGTTCAAGATGATGATCTATATTCAATTTGCCTCAAAGTTAGTTCAGTTCAGGAGAGTTCAGTTGCAAGTGAGTGTTTGTCATTCATCACAATGGAAGAGAAGGCACTCATAGTCCAGTAAGGAATGGAGCAAGTCTAAGGCAGTCACTGATTGTGAGCTATTATAATTGGTTGTAATTGTAATAGAAGTGTCAGTAAATCCAATTATTGAATCCAGAACCTGTTACTATTAGTCACACAAACCCCTTATAGAGGGCTGTGCCATAGCTCAAGCGGTTAGTCGCTGGCTTCCCACCGTGGCAGCCCGGGGTCGATCCCGGGTCTGGTCAAGTAGGATTTGTGATGGACAAAGTGGCGCTAGGGGAGGGTTTCTCCGAGTACTTCGGTTTCCCCTGCCAATCTTCATTCCACCAATTGCTCCACAGTTGCCCTCACCTATCATCTGGGGATGGTACAATAAGCCAGAAGTGGCTGCAGTGCAAGGGACTTAGTCCCACCCCACTAGCAATAAAAAAACCCTTATACATGTCAATATGTTAAAAACAAAAATAAGTTTTTGCTGTCACATTCTATGTAAACATTTCATATATATTTATAGCATCACTTTCATACCTATCGGTGACACAAATCCTCTATATGGATATGCATTTATATGTTATTGATGCATCTGTTCTTCTAAATACAGTGATGTTACATGAGATATTTTGAAAAAGTAATAAGGAAAAGGAAATATGTTAAAGAAATTGATTCTTAGATACCAGTGAGTTTGAAGGTAAAGAGTCTGTATTTGTATGTACAGAATGTTATATTCCAAATTATGAATTCTGGCTAACACACATATGATGGAGATGAAGTTAAATAACAGATCTGGCATTACAAGAGCTCTAACATGAACATATTTATACATTATCATTCCAGAATGTTCGACTAGTGGTTGACTTCTGTAAATCTGCAGATGTGGCTGAGTTAGAGGATGGAACACCCCCAGAATTTGATGATTCAAGTTGTCAGGCACATGACACCGTGCCACCTTTTAATGAATACCTCAATGTAAATGCCCCATTGCAGCTTGGAGGACTTTACGTAGAACAGTTCGACCCAACACATTACCATTGGCAGTACATGCCTGTGGGCAAAGGCTTTGATGGCTGTATAAAGAATGTATTCCATAACAGCAAGGTAGGTTATTAACATCTCATAAGTGAACATAATGTTGTGTTTTTAACATTTAGGACCCTTTTGAGAAATGCATTGCTACTTTCAAGTTTCATCTTCATGTTTTTCCCTTCCTGCAGGTACATAAACTCAATTTACATACCATTATATTGTAAGGATTTTATTTACTTCTTAGTTCTATATATTTATCCATAAACTTCTGCCATCTTTATTGGTTAGTTTTAAATAGATTGTTTCTTGTTTTTGCTATATTATGATAATAGAAATAGTCATTTGTATCCCAATCAGTATTAATCAACCAGTTGCTAATATCATGGCATTTTTTAAGCATAAGCACTCTCATCTAAGAGAATATATTGGCATGGAGCTGACCACTCACTTTCAGCTAGTGCTGAGGTCAAGAAAACTTGGATCTATACATCCACTCCCTCATATGTCTTCATGGTATAGAGCTTAATTAGTTAAGCTAAGGGACATTTTTGTCTTTATATTTAAGTGATTTTTTGGGTAGAGATAAGAAAATCAGTCGTGAAGACAACATTGCAAATAATCCTGCACTTGCAGGAAAAAGTTTAAAAAATGAAAATCAATATTAAAAATTTTCAGGGCTCTTGGCTTTCAGTATTTACATAATGAATTGTAGGATACGGTATTCTAGCATGGAACACTCATATTGGCTTTTTTTTTTTTGGTCATATTAACAGTGTTTAATCACATCTGTTGTTATCAGCTTTATGACCTAGCAAATCCAGGCCTCACCAGGAACAGTCAGGCAGGCTGCCCGCAGACAGAAGATGTGTGCAACACACAGGAATCAACATTCCGATGCTGGGAGCATGGTATGTGTGTGGGCAGCTTCTCAGAGGCCCGCTGTCAGTGCAAACCAGGTTGGACAGGTCCAGGCTGCATCACTCCTACAGTCCCCACAACATTCAAACCGCAGAGCTACGTCAAGTATGCACTCTCCTTCGAACCAGACCGCTTCTCTACACATATGCAATTGCGGTTCCGGACAAGAGAGGAGCATGGTGAATTGTTCCGAGTCAGTGACCAACACAATCGAGAGTATGGAATTCTCGAGGTGAGCAACTTTAAATATGATGTTACCTTTTGTTGGTGTGTTGAATTTACAGTGTTCCTGTTTGTACGCTTCTTGTATCTTACCACCAAATCAACTTGAGACATAAGTAGAATTAACTTCCTGGAGTAGAGTCTTAGTTGAGAAGATGATAGTCATTCAGCTAGTGAATAAATTCCTCACCTTTGTTGATGATCATGTTCACTAGAACCTGTCCAGAGCTGGATTAATCCATTCAGACCCTCACACCTTATTTTTTTAAGACTAATTACTGTATGATTTTCTTCTCTCCAAATATCAGTTGATCAGTATGTTATATACTTGACACAGATTAGAAATATCCACACCTCAGTACCTGTCAGCTTCATGTCATCAACAGTACAAACATGGCGGATATTAATATTTGTGAGTCATGACCAGCATTGTGCCATTCATCACAGGGTTGCAAAATTTTGTATGGTGACATTTGAAAGGTATACGATTTGTATTATTATACAGACTAAGAAATAAATACCCTTGACGTAAGACTTCACATATTTGTTGTAAGGCTGGACTTCATGTTTATGTAACATTTTATTTGTATAAAAATTGTCTAAATTCTAACTAAAATATTGATCTTCTGTACTATTATAAATGTTTTACATTGCAGCAACACTTGTTATGTGTGCTACAATTGTGCACTTCAGAACACAACAGAATATTCTAACTTTTTATTGTGTTCTTATGTTCTTCCTTCCTTATTCCTTTCCTTTCTTTTTTCCTTTCTTCTTTCCCTTTAGGAAAACAGAAAACATGGCATGTGAAATAAATATTTTGGTGCAGTGATTATAACTTTCAGGATGACAGAACAGACACATCTACTAGTAGTGCATATGGTTTTAAAACATAGAGTGTCTAGTCCTTCAGAACCCTAAATTACACAATACAATTAACAGGTGATTCTGCTACCTGTTACATAGCTGTGTGGTCCATAATTTTCATTGCTGGATTCATCAAAATTATTATTCATTCAAATTAAAAATATTAAGAAGGGGAAAATCACCTATTTTAAAACAGTTTCCTAGAGGACCTGAGGAAAACTGTACAGTATTTCACATTTGTATTAATTTTTTATCCATTCCATAATGTATAAGATGTAAACTCCAAACTTAGTTGAATAACAGTGATTTAAAAATATGAATTTACATAAAAAACTTATCCAAATTCATATATATTTATTTTGTAATGTTTGAGATTCTTGAATTCGTGACTATTAAAACTACTGTCTGCTGGGGCATGTGATGATATGTAATTTAGTAGGTAGATACCAGCATTTCAGAAGTATCTTCTGCCACCCTCTTCAGCTTCTATCATGAAGATGAAAGGAACAGGTTCCTCAAGAATGCTGGTACCTACCAATCAAAGTACATGGTGTCACATCTTCATACTTGTATTCTTAATAAAAAGTATTAATCCTCTTATAATTTGAGGATATTTTCAGTTATCAAGATAAGATTGATCACTTTCTGATCATATAACTGCCTCTTACATGGAGGCTATAAGTCCAAGTCAACCCTAGAACAGTGAGATACTTTGTATGGGTCCCAGATCTTATGATTTTCAGCTTCTTGTAGCTAACACCATAATTGTCTCCATTATAATGTTGCTAAAACTGTGAACATCAGGCAAGAAATAAAAAAAAATACAGATTTTAGAGTAAAGTCATTTTATTTGTATGTGTGTCAGACTTGAAATCTGATTCATCTTGCCATTATATATTACATGTTAAACATAGCAATACCCCTTCTTTCTACAGATCAAAGACAGCCGACTTCATTTCCGTTACAACCTGAACAGCCTGCGAACAGAGGAGAAGGATATCTGGCTGAGTGCCATAACTGTAGGTGATGGACAGTGGCACACAGCTAAGGTAAGCAATGCTTGTTGTGCCATTCACAATAGCTGGATTGATTGATTCTTGGGTTACATAATAGCACTCTTTTTTAATTTTGTTGGTTATGTGACTCTGAATTGAAGAGAAAATGGTCATGAATATTGATATAGAAGGAAATTGGAAGTATGCTGTTGTGGCCAGTTTGAAAGTACTATTCCAGCATGTGCATGTAAAACCACAAATAACCTTAGCCAAGATAGGTTCCAACTGAACCAAGATTTGAACCATGTACCTTCTGACTACACTTCTAAAGTATTATTGCTACACCAGCCCACTAAGTTAAGAACTGTACTGTCATTGTAAACTGAAGCATACTAAAATAACTGAACATAAAACAGTTCATACTTTTATGTGGGAAAACCTGAGAAGCTAACAAAATTGAAGTAAAGTGGTGAAGAAAAGGAACAGCACTAATCAGTGTTTGCTGAAAGACTCCACAAATCAGTGCATTCACCATGTAAGAAATGTGAATTAAATTACAAAACATATTGGTATGAGGCTTCAGTTTCTAGAGGATAATACAGATATTTTTTTCATTCTTAATACACAGTACATAAAATGAGAAGTTATGTCTGCCTGTCAACATGTTCCACCTCTGAAATTGCTGAAGAGATTTATATGAAATGTGGTATTTGGGAGTCAGTACTAATAGTTTACAAATATTACAATAAAACAGTAACAGTTTACCATATTTACTCTAAGAATTCAAAACTAAAAAGGATAGTTTTGTACCAACAGGTGTCAAGGTATGGTTCTGCAGCAACTCTGGAATTGGATGGAGGTGAAGGGCGAAGGTATAATGAAACATTCCAATTTGAGGGTCACCAGTGGCTCCTTGTGGACAAGCAAGAAGGGGTCTATGCTGGTGGGAAAGCTGAGTACACTGGTGTTCGTACATTTGAGGTCTATGCAGACTATCAGAAAGGTAATCTTTGTTAATTCTTAGTGAAAATGTAGTAGAACTACTGTATGTCACCCAGATTATAACTCTGAATGTTGTCATAATCTGATGCTTAGAATATTATGCATGACTTCTGTTTGAAGTGATTGCCAGTTAAACATTTTGCCAAATAAGTAGAGAATATCTTTCACATTTGTATATGGCCGGTTTAAAGTATGACATTGGTGTTAAACCATTCTATTTTATTAATAACCCTTTGGTTCTAGAATCTGAATTTAATGATAAATAAGAATAACCCTGTTATTGTTTGCATTATTTATGCAAAGTTGCATGTTGGAGTGTAATTTAATTTACACATCATGTTCACAAGTGTTGAGTAAGATGTGTTATGTAAGAAATAAGTGATTTCATTATTTTAATGCAATATACTTTAGATCCTGGGTAAAGAAAGATGCTTTCAGAAGTATGAAAATTTTTTGTAGTTTAGACTACTGATGTGTTTGAAATATCATAGCCAATTGGCGAAACAGAGGTTCTGCTGTAAATTTAATCATGTTGTGAATGCTAAGTATATGAGGGCTTAACATAATGTGTTGTGTGTTAGGCTGTCTGGATGATATAAGACTAGAAGGGAAGCACCTGCCCCTCCCTCCTGCAATGAATGGAACCCAGTGGGGACAAGCCACCATGGCACGCAATTTGGAAAGGCACTGTCCTTCTAATAAACCCTGTGCCAATGTCATATGCTCCGATCCCTTTGAATGTGTTGACCTCTGGAATGAATATGAGTGCACGTAAGTATATGATATAGTAATCTATGTAACACATTCTGGAAGATATGCTTATTTCAGAAGTGATGTAAATATTTATTCCATATATAGCTCAAAATTACTATTTACTACAAATAACCATCATATCTATTCTTGCAGCGTGTTCCAATTAATAATTTTGTGTTTAAATCCAGCATGTGTTTAATATCAAGGTAATCAAGAAACAAAGGCAATTTTATTAAAAGCTCTGACAAAAAAAAATATATAGTAGTCAAACATGTATATTTCCTTCCTGTGTAATCAGCCAGGTTTTCAATGTATTTGGTTCAGCAGTCCACAAATTTCCTTATAATGCTTGTTTCCATGACTACTGCTCATTTCATATACAGTTTTTTCAGTGCTGATTCTTTGGTTTTCCCAGATATGTTGACTGCTCTGCTTTTTAACCTCAACACATGTTACAGTCAGTAATAACAAAAATTCATCCCTCTTTGAAGCCTTCCTCCTGCTTGCAGAGTTTTATCTTTCAGTACAGAATTGTCCATTCACTTCACTATTTTTCACACAAATCAGGTCAGAGATGTCTGTTGTTCTTTGGTGTATTCCATAAATGTAATAGTATCTTCTGTTTACTTATTTATGTTTTATTTATCAATTATTTCAACATCTCAGCTTATAGTAGTAATTGACTTGTTCTATATCCAGAGGTTGTATCTCCGAATATGGATTCTCGGAACAAATAAACTGGTTGATTGATTGATTGATTGATATAATGTCAGGTAATAGGATAAGTGAGTGAATAGCAAATTGGAAAAAAGATGTGGATGAAAGCAATTATGGTCTAATTTATTGGACTGTCTTGGCATTTGCCAGGAAAGACTGATGAAAACCATGGAAAACTTGAGAAAAGCTGGTCTCTGGGCTGACATTTGAAGCCAGAACCTCCTGAATATGAAGCAGGACTACTACCATTCAACCTTGATGTTCAGAACCTGCCATGTTCTATGTGCTGTATTATCACCTCTCAAAAAACAATGAAAACCACCTAGTTGCATGTGAAGCTCAGTTCAAGATCACTTTTGATGTAAAAAAATTTAATTATTTACTTTCCATTGTACTTGTAGTAGCAATCAGTACATACAACATTAAAATATTTATGTGTGTTCTATTATAAGAGCAGTGTGCTATTGAGATTTTGATTTGTTATTCTGAGCCTTAGTTGTATGGTTCTGTCTACCCTCATACAGCTGTTTATTTCTGCAGCTGTTTGAATATTCATTCATTATTAAATTTTATTTTCTTAATCTGCCATCATAAAAAATGTACTCTATATGCCCTGACTAGTTATTCATCTGTTTTAGAATGATGTGTTTCACATGACCATTGTGGCCCTCTTATATGTTTTTAGTCACGAGAACAAAATTTATTGCAGAAAGTGGATATAAGCCAAGATTAACAATTTAATTGTTGGTTGGATTATAACAGTTCTTGATTCTCTGATGCTGGGTATAAACTTGACTCCACCCCATTGAAGTATTAAGAATCTAAGAACATTACACAGTGTGTTATTTACATTAAGATCTGTGTGAGTGTTAATCTTTGTCATCCTGCATTGAAACCATTAAGTTTTTTATTTGTGGAATTCCTTATGTTGTGGAGAATAGTACAGTTAAGAAGCTTTATATTGATTGATGAATTGATTTTTTACTTTATTAATTTAACATATTTGTTTCATCCCTACTTATTTGTTATTCTTACATTTCCCATCAATAATACTAATGCTCTAATTCCAGAATTACTAATGTGGTTTAAATATACTAAATTCATGTTGTGACTAATAACTGCAATGGACATGATTGCTGTTGAGAAGTTAACAAAATCCTGATCAGTAGATTGAATCTTGCTTTATGTGTACTGTATTATAAATAATAACCTGGCTACAGATCCAGAGGTCCGGGTTCGATTCCCGGCGCTACCAATTTTTTTTCTGAGAAGTAACAGGGTCCACTCAGCCTCGTGAGGATAATTTCAAGGAAATAGCAGGTCCTGTCTAGAAAACCGAGATTAACAGCTGTGGGGAACCGTTGTGCTGACCACGTGACAACCTCTATCTGCTAAATTTGGCACTAACTTCGCCAACAAGCGGCGGTCGCTCAGTCGGTATAGTTCACTTGTGGACTAAAATCACGGAGTTTGTATTATAAATAATGTACACAAAATGTATTGATTTACAAATGATACTCCCACGGTTGAACTGAGCCATGAAATATGATCTTGGATCTGGTCAAGTGGATTTGTGGTGGACAAAGTGGCGCAGGGGCAGGTTTTCTTCGAGTATTTCAGTTTCCCCTGCCAGTCTTCATTCCACCAATTGCTCCACAGTCACCCTGACCTCTCATCTGGGGCTGGTACAATAGGCCAGAGGTGTCTGCAGCACAAGGGACTTAGTCCCACCCCACTAGCAAAAAAAAAAAACTAAGAAGATCAGAATGGTTCAGAATAAGTGGTGAAGGGAGGAAAGTAAGTGTCCCCATACCAATCTTATTTAATGCCACAATTCAGTGAATTTTTAGCAAAGTTACAGAAGAAAACAAAGGACCATTTATGAAAACACCAGTATTTGAAGGCATTTAGTTAATTTGCAGGCAATATGAAAAGAGAACTGAAGAAAAAACTGCATTAGTGGAACCTTTTTGTAAAGGAATGTGGACAGGCAAAGACCATGGATAAAATGGTGACTGTGAGGATTCCAATGAACCTATACAAAAATGTCAGAATAAAAGTCAACAGAATTATTAAAGAGATGGACAGAGAATTTGGTGAGGAAGTAAAAAAATCATAACAGAGATAGTACATCAGCATCACATATTAAGCCTTGGACTGTTCAGGTTACAAAGATTAAACTTTTCCATGTTCTTGTTGGATGTTCCTGACATCTTCTACCCTTTGGTCTATGGTGGCAGAGTAGTTCGTTTCTCTGGATTGTTTTGTATTATTGTATTAATATCTGTTACTCACTTTCCATTTTTTATATTAGCATTACATTTATGATTTGTCCCTTTGTATGCTGTAATGTCTCTGAGAAAATTAATTTCTTCCATTGTTATCCTTCTTATTTGTTCCCGTATTAATGTTCCACTTACAAAATCATAATTGTGGCTATTACTCTGTATTATTTAAAAAAATGTGGTTTTGATATTACCCTAGTAGCATATGTTTTTCAGGTCCACAGATTTTAATCTATTTAGTTTTGTAATAAAACCAATCAAAATGTTACCTTAGATGTTATATAGTTTATAAGTACTGAAAGAGGCCTGTCAGAATGTGGTAAAATGAAAACTAAATAAAGTAGTGTAAAATGAATTGCAAGATCATATGGTTGCTCTTAACTGCTACACAACCATAGTACATACCTGGTTAAAGTGTTAGTCTTGGGTGTGTATACAAAATTCTGTGGTTTCGCAACATAACATTACTCATGGCTGCATGCAGCTGTGGAGAGGGTCGGATCGTAGCTCCTGATGGAAAAGGCTGTACAGACAAGAATGAGTGCCTGGAGGGCCCATGTCTAAATGGGGGCACTTGCATCAATGAGGATCCTCACCTGCGTTACCGTTGTGTGTGCCCTGAGGGCTACTGGGGGGAGAACTGCGAGCTGGTTCAAGAAGGCCAGACACTCAAACTCAGTATGGGTGCACTAGCAGCCATCCTGGTTTGCCTACTCATCATCCTTAGTAAGTCTAACCAACCTCACCCCATAGGTCCCTGCATGTGCCTGCTCTGTGGTAAATAATATTACCAGAAATGTAAGAATTCAAGCCTCTGTTCTTTACTTTATGTATTATAAATTCCTTAAAAATGTATAACTTCCATTGAAATGTGGAAGAGAAACAGTCTATGAAACAGAACAGTTATACAACTTCTATGATCATTTGAGGTGTCTCTAAGTTTAATCATGTCTTAGATCACTATCTTTTTGGTTATGACATAATTTGGTCTGATACATGGTTATCAACATTTCAGAGGAACTTACATCCTTTGGCTTCTATCCTGAAGATGGAAGCAGCAAGTTTGTCCAACATGTTGCTGACCACTTATCACAGTCTAAATTTCTGCCACTGTGGAAACCTCAAATATCATATATAGTGAAGCTGTTCATTTAGGTCATATCAACTGTATGATAAATTATGGGTTATTCTGCTGTGCCCATCATGGCTCTGTGGATAAACTCTGTCACTGTTGTGCTAAAAGACACAATCAGCAGAAAAATCGTTTATTTTTCAAGGAAGAGGAATTGTGGTTTATTTTTTTCTTTTGGCATTTTGAACATGTTGCTTAAACATTTTTAAAAAACTGAGGCCTTCACTGCAGTGAACAGAGACTTGCATCTTACAGCTCTCCTTTATGTCAGTTTCTTCCCTGCATGTTTGTTTCCTGCTTCTTGTTCTCCCATTATCTGTGTTGGAATTTTAGCATAGCCCATATGCTGCAGTGTTCACCTGTACTCACCCCCTGCCCCTTTCCCAAGCTAATTGATGTTTATGTGTCTGTATGGGCCACTAGATGTCCAATGGGGTTCCGCGCTCAAGGTGTAGAGTGCGTGAATGAGGATGAATGTGAATGGCACCCATGCCAGAATGGTGGGCAGTGTCGGGATTATGCAGACGAGCGCCGATATTCCTGCCTTTGCCCCTCAGGCTTCACAGGACTGCACTGTGAATTGGAGCTGCTCGAATCAGGAATTATTAAACCATCAACTGATTTCATCATAGCCATCATAATCTGTCTGATTTTATTGCTCAGTAAGTTCTTTCTTTTATTTTAATTTTATCATTATTAACAAATATTGTTTTAATTTTTGTTATGATACCAAGTCCAGTCCATAAGATTATGGAACATTTGGCAAAAGAGAAATGCTTTATGTTTATACCTCTTTATTTATTTGTAAATTGATCAAAGTCTTAAATCAAGTACATACTGCTGCAGGTAGATACAAATATATGAAATTAAATTTCCACATAAATCAATTTCAGTATAGTCTGTCCTTTCAGTCAAATGTGAATGGAAGAGAAAGTGAAAGTAAAATTCTTTTATTTGGACATAATAGAAGAAAAAACACAGAATCAGAAATTCAGGATGGTGTATTTATTATAAATATAAATGATATTTAAAAATGAAAAGAAAAATCACTCTTTAGGCCATAATAATTATTTTGGAGTCAGTTTTGCTTGTGACTTACAGTTCTATATGAGTGTTTTATTTTTTAAGAATTGATAAAGAGAATAAATTGCAGCAATACAGTAAGTTCTCAATTTAACGGACCCAGATTTAACAGAATTTGGATTTAATGGTTACAATTCTTTGGTACTTTCTTTTTATTCTTCAGTTGATATGCCAGTACCTCCCCCATAATAGTCTGGTTGATATGTCACGTGGGTGTACTTTGTCAGTCATGCTGTGAATGTGCAGTATTGTGTTTGGTTTGTTCTGTATTACAGATATTTTTACATATTTTTTTTAATTAATACACATAAACAAAATAAGAAAGGACAAACTTGAGTGTAAAACAAATGTTAGAATTGATTAGAATTAGAATTGGGATTATCCATCACATGTGTTCATGAGGAATATGGTATCAAGGAACAGACTGTCAGATATTCCCAAAGCAAAAGATGAATTTGAAAAATGTATTTCAGTGTCTAGTGCAGATGCTCCAAATAAGCCAAATGAACATATGAAAATAGCTTGAGAATCTTCATTGGAGGATGCTGTGTTGAAATGGTATGTGCAACAACATTCTTGCAGTGTAAAGTAGAGCTGAAATTTGTAGCAAACATGCTAGGAAATGATATGAAAATCAATTTCAAAGTGGGTGATGGGTAGCTTTGGCGATTTTGTAAATGACATGGAATTATGAACAAGAGAACTTATGGAGAAGCTTTGAGTGCTCTGATGGAGGAAATAGGTCCATTTAGGCAAAAATTGACGAAAAATTTTGAAGTCTCAGATCTACAATGTGGAAGAGACTGGTTTGTTTTGGCGTTCACTTCCAGAAAACACCCACACTCCTTGCAGAAAAACAAGTAATGAGAGGATCAAGGTACTACTTTGTGCAAACGCTGACAGTTCACATCAGTTAATGCCAATTATTGTTGGCAAGTCATGTCACCTAAGTGTCCTAAAAGATATTATGAACCAACTACCAGTCATATATTATAATTAAAAGTACATGCTTTACCTCAGACATTTTTCATTATTGGCTTTTTTTGCACATTCTGTGCCAGAAGTAAAAAGATGTCAAATTGGGAATCTGGGCATACCACCACAAAACGTGAAAGCTCTTTACTAGTAGAAAATGCTCTTGCCTACCCGTCGTCCAGCCCTTGGATCAGAGGATAATTCTTGCAATGAAAATGCCGTACATGTAAAGAATTTTGGAGGGGGTGATGGTTGTGTTAGAAGATGAAACTGATGAAAGCAAAGACACAAAAGGGCAACCCTAAAATTAGCAATTTTTAATTTTGCATCAGTAAAACAGTAAAGAACCAAACACTTGAAAATGGCTGGAAAAACTTTAAGAAACAGAAGTTACTATCTTGCAGTGGGTAGAGGTAGAGGGTGATCCTGTATATCAGATGATGAAAGTGATGGAGATAGCTGAAGAAGTTATGATTTGTGACAAAACAGATGAAAAAAATGATGAGGAGGAGGAGGAAGAGGAAGAATGACAACCAATTTGCAAAATCAGGCTATCTGAATTAAGATTTCGTCTTGATGACTTGATCATCTGTGTCAACTCATCTGATTCTGAAGTTCAGCCATACTCCTCTCACTGTGGAGCTTTCAGACAGATTATTATTCATAAACATTAAACTTCCAAAACAAGCCAAGTAGCTGACCAAAACTCCTCAACAAATGGTATCAGTCTGTCATCAGGACTGGTGATAAACATGGAAGAGTAGCAAAGTGATTCTTTTTCTGAACGGCCTACATACCATTTGGTATTTTTCCTAGTTAAAAGAGAGACAAGTAATTTATTACTATTATTTCCTAATGCAGGATATGTAGTAGTGAAATTTGTCGTTTTTCATGTAAATATGGTTTGTGTTGTGCTTAAAATCAATCACTTTTTATTTAATGGACTTCAGGTTTCGAACAGGCACTCTTTGATGGACATTTGACAATATCGGACATCCCCTTCCCCAATTAATCCGTTAAATTGAGGATATACTGTTAATGTAGGTTTGTGACTGGAAACAACTTAATTTCAACATAATGTGTCTTTTTGTGCACATATTTCTCATTTTCATAACATAATTTCTCATCTGTCATTCAAATAAAAATGTAATTTAGTATTGAATTTATGTTGGTAAGAAAACTAATTTTTAAATATGAAAGTCCAAATTGTTGTATTTCATATTTGCATATATGGTCACATTTCTCTCGCAGAAGTTTTACCATGTCCATACACCTCCACATATGTAACATCTGCATTTCATGTGAATGGAATGTGATGTTTGTAATACCTCACTGTTTAAAGAACAGTGTTTATATGTACTTCTTGTGCTGACATTAGAAAACTCTTGATTTTGCCCACAAATTACATTTATGGTTTGTGACTCTTAGGACAAAGAATGATTTTCTTACCAAAAGAACATTATGATGTTAGGTTTTGTAACTGGGATGCATTGTACTTACTGTAAGACAGAAACCAAATTTTTAAATGTTACATGCATTCATTTTAGTTTTCAGTAGGTGAATTTATAATCGCATCCAAACTGGAAAAGATAAATTTAGACAGTACTGACCAAGTGGGCTCTCACTTAACTGTGGCCCAGATTAATTTACGTATAATATTATAATATTATAGTTCTATATATTTTCATTATATTGAAATTTTTTTCAATCACATTTATGGGATTAACACTTTCATACGCTCCTTTCATATGTTGAAGAAATTATTTTGAGAACATTGTTTTTAAATTCTGGATTGGCAGAATTGTAAAATATTATGCATTTGTTCCTTTGAGCAGTATTAAAGTTCCCATATTATTGACAGAAATTAATTTATTTTAATTCAGAATGGATTTTGTTATTTAATTCGTAACTTCAAATAGAACTGTTTTATTTCTTATATTTGAATATATGTTTTTACTTTTTGCTATCCTAAACCCCCATTTCAATTTGTACTGTGAAATCCATCCATTTTCAACAGTGTACTATGACATGTAGTTTCTTCACATGGAGAAGAATTCACATCCCAGTAGCAGGTAGGTACAGATATTGTGGTTGGTCATGCAGTATATCTGTTCCTTGCAAATAGGAAGGAAATTAAAGTAACTAAGTTATGACTTTGTAATCATCTTGGGTATGCATGCTGTTAACTAGTAAATGGCTGAGAATTGTCTGATAGCTCATTAAGTCTATTCTGTAAAGAAAGTTTGACAGTTGAATATCATAAATGTGTATCGATTTAGTTTTAGTGCATATAAAATATTCCTTGCATGCATCCACACCAGAGTGGCAAACTTTTGCAGTTTTAATATCCAACATTTGATTCTGTAGTACTCAATTGTACATTAGATATATGGGTATATTTAACTTATGTCTATCAGAATTACTTATGGTAACACTGAGTGTGAACCTGGAATAAAATGTACCTTTATTATTATATTAAAGTCTACAGCACACAAGTATGAGAAACAGATGCCATGGACAGCCTTCATAGCATGTCCATATAAATATTGTGTGCAGGTAACCAGTTTTTTTCCTTCTTCCTGTTTGTATTTATATTTACATTCAGAAATTTGATATATTTGTGGAATAGAATGAAGCATTTATATTCTTTCTTGGTTCAGACTTGAGGGAAGGATACTAGGCATTCACTTGTTGTTTCAAGTCAAGTTATAGCTGACATTCATTGCCTGTTCCTTTTTTACTTATAGTCCTGGTGCTAGTGTTTGTTGTATACAACCGTCGACGTGAAGCACACATCAAATACCCAGGACCAGATGATGATGTTCGTGAAAACATCATTAATTATGATGATGAAGGTGGTGGTGAAGATGACATGACAGCTTTTGATATTACACCACTGCAGATACCCATTGGGGGCCCAGTGCCTGAGCTGCCTGCTAAATTACCCTGTAAGTTTGTTGAATGTCAGTGACCACATGAAATTTCTATTTTAGACTGTAGTCTTCTGCGTTATAACATCATGTACTCTGGTAGCCTGAAGGTGGAGGCAGCAAATGTTGGTGATCACCTACCAGACTACATGGTGTCATAGTGTAGAACACCACAGTTTTAAAGTTCCATCATTGTGAAAACCTCAGGTCTCATATTATTTCAATATTCTTTAAAATGTTAATAAATTTTATTTTTTCATATGTACCTTTGTGGTGTTAGTAATAAGCAGGGCCCAGATTTTGATGACCTGAAAATATTTAAAAAATGACCTATAAAATAACCGAAAAAATGACCTAAAATATGACCCAAAAATGTAATATGTCAGAATATCTACTAATTATTTTAAAATGTATTTTTAATCTTTATTAACATTGAACTCATCTTTACTCTTTTTAAGTTCGTCCTCGTTTTTATGTTGAAAATTAAGCGGTAATGATTGAATTTGAAGCTAAATGTTTTAATATGATTTTTCCTATCATGTTAGAACGCTTATCAAATGTACATATACGGTATGTATGCCATGTATTACCTCATTCAGAGTTGCAATAGATGACAGTCAATATGCGGAGATTCTTGAAAGTGAGAGAGTGCCAATTGTCCGACAGCACATTCTTGTACTTGGAGAAACTGCTTTCCACATCTGTAGACACAATGGGAGCATACTTGAAGTGTACCAAATCACTAGTAGTAAGTTTTTCTTCAATACTGAAAGTGCCGAAGGACTCTCCTGACAGAATTCGAGAAATGCTGCATAATGTTTCATAACCTGAGTTTTTATCCAGAACATTTTTCATTTTTCTTGACACCATTTTACCAATGTCCCCTGACACTTTCTCCAAATCACTGGCTATTTTTTTCACCAGAGCGAGCAAATCTTCTAACATTGCTCCTTTCTCCTGCAAGCATTGGATTCCTTCTGTCAAGGAACTGAAATTTGCCTTTATGAAGGCCAGCTGCCCTTCCATTTCGATGCACGAGAACTGTTCCTGAGCAACTTCAATTGCCCTCGCATCCTCTGTCTTCATTGAATCTACAATGGTTTTCACTACCTGAAAATGATCGCAATAGTAAATTGCAGCATCAGTCCACGTTCCCCACCTTGTAATGATGGGATCCGGGGGCAGTGGAACACCAGGAACCATAGACTTAAAATGCATTTTACGAGCTGGAGCCTTGACAAAAATCTTCTTTGTCCTCGACACAAGAGCATCCACTTGAGGAAATTTTGAGCTCACTTCCTCCGTCACTCAATGCAGTGAATGAGCTAGGCAAGTAACATACACCAATTTCATATAAAACCACTTTCTTGACTTGCCTGCTTTTACAATATATGGGGCTGCATCGGTCACAAAAAACGAGACATTGTCATGTCGTATACCCTCTGGCCCCAGTAGAAACATTGACCTTTCAAAGAGTTTACAAATTGTGGAATGATTAACGGATTCTAGCGCCTCACTCATAAGCAGAAACACTTCACCTAGTCCACCAATTTCCAAGGTTCCAAGGATAACGTTTGCCATGTAGCGAGACTCCGTATTGCAGGTCGCATCAATGGAAATGAAAATCTTCTTCCCGTGCACTTTATTCCTAACCATTTCCAGGATACTGTTGTAGCACTGGGAAAGGTAGTTCTTCCTGAGGGTGGATTCATCCGGGATGGAACGACCACAGTTTACTTCCAGAAAATTTTTCAATTTTCCATTTTTCAGAGCCAAAAACGGAATATTTGCGGACGCCAGAGCATCACACAGCTCTCTGAAAAAAATCTGATGACTTATTTCTGCCTCCAGATGAACACTGTTGCAGTAACATTTGCACGGGTTTCTTTTTGTTCGAAATTTGCACTGCCCGTATATGCTTGTCGCGGCCGATATGTTGTTGTACCGAGAATCTTTTTTCTGCTGCTACTTTTGTGTCACACATCTTGCAGTATAAAATGTCACTGTCAGTTGAAAATATATCATCTCCAAACTCGCCTACAAATTGCTTTAAATGATACGATTTAGTTGGCTTTGTTTTTGGCATCATGATAAAATTAATCACTAGCACAACACAGAACTGAACTTTTCTCACTGAGAACCTTTTGTCAACTGTATCTTTATCTGTACAGTCAAGGGCGAGGAACTGAAGACAGAAGGAGTTTTATTGAACAACAGTGTCATATGAAGCAAGAGATTCCCACTAGAAATATGTGTAACTAAGCAAATTGCTTTGTACNAAAAAATCCGATGACTTATTTCTGCCTCCAGATGAACACTGCTGCAGTAACATTTGCACGGGTTTCTTTTTGTTCGAAATTTGCACTGCCCGTATATGCTTGTCGCGGCCGATATGTTGTTGTACCGAGAATCTTTTTTCTGCTGCTACTTTTGTGTCACACATCTTGCAGTATAAAATGTCACTGTCAGTTGAAAATATATCATCTCCAAACTCGCCTACAAATTGCTTTAAATGATACGATTTAGTTGGCTTTGTTTTTGGCATCATGATAAAATTAATCACTAGCACAACACAGAACTGAACTTTTCTCACTGAGAACCTTTTGTCAACTGTATCTTTATCTGTACAGTCAAGGGCGAGGAACTGAAGACAGAAGGAGTTTTATTGAACAACAGTGTCATATGAAGCAAGAGATTCCCACTAGAAATATGTGTAACTAAGCAAATTGCTTTGTACAAAGAGCCACAGTGTGAGTAGTCATCACCGTAACCTGTTTTATGATATGTATTGTCAGCACTTCCACAAAACGAATGGAAAGGATGGGCCAGGATTACAACCTATTATTGTATACTGTGGCCTTTATAGAGAGCGCTTAGGAGAAAGAGAAAGAACACTTTGCTTCCATATTATTCACATTTCAGAAAACATGAAGAAAAATGACAAGAAATAGCCTTAAAAGCCCAAAAAATTACCCCCAAAATGAAAAAATTACCTTAAACCTAAAAATGTCAAAAAATGACAAAAAAATACCTATAAAATTTACATTTCTGTAACCAGCAGCTCATATCCGAGATTTATATATTTAAGAGCATCGCATAGGATACAAGGAAAAAAGATGACATGTCATCAAAATCTGGGCCCTGGTAATAAGTTATGGTTCCTACTTTTGCAAAATGCAGCTCAGTATCTTGAATAGGACAGTACTTAAAATGATAGCAAATGTGGGTTACAGATCACTTTTATGTGGAACCTGAAGATGTCTCTAAAGGATAGACAAAACATTCCACTTAAATTGAATAACCTAAGAATTTAAATAAAATATCTGACACCAGATGTACAAGTTAATTATAACTGTACAGTAGTAGGGGATTGAGGTAGGATAAGTTATAGCTGTACGGGCACAGTCTGCACAGTATTACAGGTAGAAATAAGTTTGAAAAAAGGGGACAGATGAAGATATGTGTTGCGTGCAGTAAGAAGTAAAGCTCGTTGTAGATTATGACCATTATCATAATCATGATAATTACAAGTTTGATACTAACATTTCACAGTAAGTGTAAGTTAGGTTTCCATTCCAAGATAGTAAATTATTTTTTTGATAAGAGTTTAAAAGTTAATTAGTTTTGCACTGATTTTTTATTTATATGTGAAGGTATAATTTACAAGATTTAATATATATTCCACTAATCTGTACTTAAATCAGTTTATGTATGAATAAATAGATTTATATTCATTGGAATTTACATATTAATATATCATTTATACTTAACAGACAAAGTAATGTTTAATAATATTCCAATTACTGCTAATTTTATAGTCCCTCCAATGGGTCCTGAACCCAATGTGGGTGTGTTCATTGAGGAGCACAAGAAACGAGCCGATGCTGATCCCAATGCTCCACCTTTCGATGATCTCCGAAATTATGCATATGAGGGAGGTGGTAGCACTGCTGGGTCCCTTTCTTCTCTGGCCTCAGGTGAGTATACTTAAGATTCTGACAGTGTTAAAGGTATCTTACAGAAATATTGAAGATGCTTTGGAAGGTGTACAACAGACAAACAGTGTTGTGGCCCAAAGTGTTTTATTGGCATCAGAGGTTTAGAGATCATTGGAAGATGACCTGCACAGTGAACAACCTGCAATATCTTGGAGTGAGGACAATCTGAGACAGCAGAAAGGATCAAGTGACTTAAAAGATTGCTTTGCAAAGGTCACACATGATGGCTTTCAAAAATATTTTAAAAACCCCAAAATTTAACACTTTCACTCCTGGCAACTCTGCTTCTGGCTTATCAGCTAGCCCAGCCATTTTTCACACTTCAGTACCAGTTCGCATTTTTCATAGCAAAAATATAAATTAGCAAATGATGAACATGCTTTTATACAATTCAGTGAGGTAGGTATATACACCCTCTAGTGACAGACAAAAGAATTATGTGCTCAAATTACATTCTGAGAGAGGAATCTTTTGTTTTGTGGTAGCATGCTAATGTCTGGCCTTGTTCAGATATTGTAATCTGGACAGAGCACCAATAAATAACCAGTTTCAGATAAGAGAGCTAAAGGGTTAATATTGTAACGTGTTTCGTTACAGAATACGCCGTAGAGATGGTTAATTGGCTTATTTAACAATCTACAAGTAACGGCTACAATTACTTATCTCACAGTTGCAGGGTTTCACACTTTATAACCCTAACCGCATTAATCTGTTAACACTGTTGCGGGGTTTCACGACTTATAACCCTATGCGCAAATCAGTTCACTCTGCCTTCAGTAGTCTACACGTTTACCGTAGGGGAGCTATGTATCACTGTATCACACACTCCCAATTACACAATCACACACACGTCCGGTTCTTCTTTCCGCGACGGCTGCTATACTCCAACTGTAGTCGGCTGACTGGAGAACTGTTGATAACACACTCGCTCGTAGGCTTGCTCGGAACTAAGTCGGAACTTTCTTCGGCGATGGCCACGTTGCAACTCAACTCGGCGACTGTTACATTACAACTGGTTCGTAGCTGCTGTGCAGTTCCCTTATATAGCCGCAGTGGTGCCTGTTGCGTGCCACGTCACAGTAGGAAGCGGTTCTGCGTCACCGTGTTGCGTCACCGTGCGTTGCATAGCTGCCAGGTTGCGGGGGCTCGGCTAACTTCGGCTCTGCTCGTGACATCACCGCGGGGAGAGTGGGGGGTGATGACTCGCCTATTACGCGAACGCTACGTTACCGCCACGTGCCGCTGGGGAGGTATGGGTCAACATGTCACAATATTATGTTCCTTTTGGACTTGACACCATGTACTCTGATAGATAGGTGCCAGTGTTCCTTGGAAACACTGGCACCTATCTTCCACTTCATAGAACAGAGTAATCTTAATGTTCACTGCTATGAAAACCAAAATCTCAACTTTGCACATGCCACAGATTCTTGCTAGGTGAAGTATTGAACCTAGTACTTCACCTCCCAAGACCCACAATGAAAAAGTGGAGCTCCACCTTTTTGACACAAAAAAGAAAAAGGCAGTATGAGACAGCAACATGCAACATAGCACAACACTCTGTAAACAACTGAATTGCAGTAAGTATAGCCTATATATATTGTGACATGTAGACCCATTGCTGGGCAAAAACCACAAGATAAGCAAATATACAACAGCCATTAGTGTAATGGCTTCACAAACAAACATGTTCCCATGGCAACAGTTTAACTACAACAATGAAGAATGGTGTTTTCTGTGCGGTCCGTGTAAAGATGTTGTAAGCAGGACAAGTCTGGAGCTACAGTCAGTCATTCAGAAGAGTAGAAGGTTGGTGCAAGATGGCCGCCAGCCTGGGAGTTAGTTGTGAGACAGTCGCTGACCAGGAAGGATACAAACACAGAACCTGAGCAAGTTCCAGTTTTGAAAGCCATTACCAGGTGACAGCTGATGAAGATACAGCAACATGTGAAGACTTAGTGTGTGCTGCAGTGAATCATAGAGTGTGTGAATTAGCAGTAGTGCATTCTTACTTGTGGTTATGATCTGTAAATGTTCAGTAAATCCAATTACCAATCCAAACCTTGTCTATAGTCACTCATACACATGACAATATTAATTTTCACATATCAGTTACAGCCTTTTATGAGAAATTTATGACTTGATATTTTAAATCATTTGTTCTTTATATGTATGACCTCTTATGGTACACCCCCTGAAGATGGTAATTTTCATCTTGTTCTAATTTGTAACTTGTATATAAGTTCTGTTTGTAATTTAGTAATGAAGGGAACACAAATACTTTCATTAGATGGACAAAATTTGTATTTCTGTCCTTTCTCCTTCATTGGTAGTTCTGATTGATAAAAAAATCCTTTGGCCTTATATTTAAACAGTTTATCAAAGTATTTCCATGAAAGCCCTTCCCAGAAAGAGAAAGAACAGGGAGTGTTGATCCAAAGATGAGCAAACAAATTACTCTGAGATAAATTTTATAAGAATATTTAAATTTTATTACTAAAATGCTGCGTAGCAGATAGACTGGTGTGAACTAATGGGACCATGTCTCTTTATGCTATAGGAACTGATGACAACGAGCAAGACTTCGATTATCTTGGAGCATGGGGGCCACGGTTTGACAAGTTGGCAGACATGTATGGGCAAGAAGGGGAGGAGAGTGAAGAGGAACAGTAGGAAGATCAAGAAAGAACAGCTCTGTGTTTTAGGTTCCCCTCGAATTACACAGCATACACATACACACATAGAACCCCATACATTTTTGTATGGTGAATGAGAATCATGCAGTTCTGTGTGGTCGAGAGAAGAGGCAATGAATTGGCACTATCATGATCTCATACTCGCACTCCAAAAATCTTCAGCAGCACCTGTTCACTCCCTTTTGTGCCAGTCGTTACTTCATCTCTGGGCGTGACAGCTTACCGTCTTCTACTTAATAGCTGATATATAGTGCTGATATTATATGAATCTCTCATTACTCAGAGGTAATTCCTCTGTCTCGCTCACTCTCTTTCTTTCATCATTCATGAAACGTGCAGGTCATCAACCTTGGAAACAGCCATCTCACTAGTGCTGCACCCCACTCATCTCTATCAGTGTTACAAGGGCTGCAATGTCAGTGCCATGCATTTTGCAGCCAAATGTGTTCTAGGTGGGGTACCTATACTGCCTATGGGCCTTAAACACTGGGGTTGAACAAATACACTTAGAAATGGAATTAAGACTGTAAATGACTCACCGTAATCATGGTGTCACGTGTCATACTGTGTTCTTGAGTATAAGATGAGCATCATGCCAGTATTTACTATAACATTGTAATTCTCACAAGTCAGGAAACTGGTTTTCAGTGTACTGTACATAGTTGGTATACCTAGCATAGCTATCTCAAATACTCATGAACGTCACTACATTCAGTAGACGTATAATGTAAATAGATTGTCAATATTGTGTTGTAATATTTGAAGGAATTTTTCACATAATGATAATCGACAACTAACAAGTCTACATTTCCCACCATGCTGGGAGGGCGTGAATCAGGGTGCGTACGACTTGCACTGTGAGGCTAACTTGCTCATCTGTCCTCCAAGGCTGCAGTTTTAACTCAGAGTTTTATGTTACATGCTTGTATGATTTGCACTTGTTCCTTATTGGTTGAGTGCATGTGAATGTGTACACTTCAAAGTATGAATGTGCAGAACTCAGATTTAATCCAGTGTGAAGGTGATTCGCAGAGCAGAGGATCAGATCAGAAGTTGTAATGTCAGAGTGTATAGACTGAATGTCAGTATGCAAGTTGAATACAAATCAAAAGAGTAGTCTGTGTTCTTTAAACAGTATTTATTTTTGTTTCCATCCCTGCCTCATTTGACAAGGATTGGTGCCAATATTCAAGGAAATATGTAGATTGTAATGATGGTAGAAATTTGCATTAATGTGTTGCACTCATGTACTGACTGTAGAGTTAGAAAATAGTTGTAAGAGGTATGTGTAAGATACTTTGCCATATGTTTATCACATTCTGAAATGTTGCTGTAATTACCTTTTTAATTTATGAACCATGTCAGATAATTATTATTGATATTAATTTTAATGTTACTCATGAATGACATACTTTTTGTGTGCATGGTTGAATGGATGTTTTGAGTATTTGAGAATGATAATTTGGCTAGTAGGTATCCATGTGTCTCTATAACCTCATTTTGTGTAACTTGTGTTTTATGTTGTGGCTAGCTTAGTATTCTTTGAGTATTGTGTTGATTTCATGGGAGCTGCTTCCCTCTATCATGTTAGGGATAATTCTTCATAGGTCAGCATTTTAACAGCAACTGTGCTAGTTCCTGATAAATAATGTTCAGTATTATGTTTGATTGTTTGACTCCTGACCCAGAATGGTGTACATTTCTCTCCATGAAGAAACTTTGTGGAAGAAGAGAAGAAATTAATTTTAGATCTGTTGCAAATATTCCAAAACGTGTTTGAATTTGTGTATGAAGTCACAGTGTGGAACTCAAGTGCAGTGAGTAATCAATTGGCACTCACACAAGCCTCCAGTATATTTGTGTCAGCCTGAAAACTCATGAGAAGGAATGAAACAGAAAGGACAATACTTGGATTGATATTTGTAACTGCTCAAAATCCAGTGTATAGCACATCCTTTTCCCAAGTGTTTGACTCTTTATCATTCGCATAAACGTAGTTAAAGTCGCGGCAGATACTGTGGAAAAACTCTCTGTATCTTCAGTGTGTGTTATTCTCCATAATTACATCTAATAACAATGTACTGTTGTTAGTTTCAATTCACTGTAACACATCTTCCACCATAGTTTCTCAGAATATTCATAAAATTACAAATAAACACTGAGATTCCTTTGCCTATATGATGTAAGAACTGCAACATATATTTCATGATGTTGCTATTTACGTTGGCAGTTTTAGCAATACTTTTACTGGAGATAAGCATAAAAATTGTTCATTATATTATGAATTGATGTATTTGGTATCTTTTGGATAAACTGCAGCAAATTGAAGCACTGTTTTTGATTGTATGTCAGTATCGCTCAGTAAAGAAATAACTGATGTACCATGCTTCATGCATAACATGGCAAGTTTATTGGGGAATTTCAGCATATGAGACATTACATTGTGAGAGTTGCAAGCTTTCTGAGTGTCCATTCCTTGTAACCAATTTGTTAGGCTCTAGTTCACAATGATGAGAAATAAGAAAATGATATGTCTATTTAATTTCTTGTACTTGATTCATTGTGAGTGGAGTCTTATTGCATCCAAACATACACACAGGAACACTCCACCCCTCCTCACTCCACACAGGCTCTGTATCACTGCCATCTAGGATGTAAATGTCATGTGTACATGTGTTGTATTTTGTTTGAAGTGTGAACCAAGTTGTTGATGAATCCCAGTGAAGTCATACTTATCCTTCATTTAAACAGCGTGAGTGTTTTCTGATGTTATCTGCCATGTTTAGTTACAAAGAAAATTTGGTTCAATTGCTTTATTTTTTTGTGGAAACAACCATTCCTCCTCTAATTTGAGAGAGGTTTAACATAATGAATTTTGTACATTTTTACAAAATCTTCATAACCTTAGTGTCAACACATGACTCTATATAACTTCTAATGTTAAAAGTAGTAGGTTCAGTGTATGGAGTCATAATGGATGTAATATAAGACAGTTTGAACTCCGTAACAAGAATTGTATAATGTATATCAGTTTTGATTAACATTTAGGTGGATATAACGTATTTACCAGTTACTATGATTGTAGCACACATTACATTTCTGTCAAATAGTATTATTACATATATTTCAAGTTTAAAATTTTCCTCGTGAATATTCCTCATTATATCACAGCTTTGGATTTTGTAATTATTTTCATGAGGAATTAGAATCTGTTGATATCTGTTTGACATCCTGTTACTAGATCTTGTAGAAGAGAAATTATACAACTGATTGATAGTCAGCTCAGAATGTTACAGTTATCTGCTGTGATTTTAGTTGCAACTGTGTGATTTTTGTGAGTGTCTTGATGTTTGTGTTGTTTTTTTTTTCAGCTGTGATTACCTAGCTGTATAGTTTCAATATAAAATAAACACACCATTACCATGTTTGTGAATGTATTTTATAATGTTCCTAGATTTACTAAGCAATGTTGGGTACTTATATTCTTCTTCACTCGCTTTCTTTGCAAATCAGAATACTTATTGGTGGGACGGGCAATTTTTGCCGGTGGATCTCTGATGCATAGTGGTCTGACGCAAGTTGGCAAGCCTAAGATTGGTGGGCATGCACAGTGACACTATGTTGCCTCAGTAAGGAGGTAGACATTGAGCTCATAGGATTGCTGTTATTAGTAAATATTGTGTGCTTTTCCCATGTTCCACTTGCTTGTTTTTAATTTATATATTTCTTTTAGGACAGTGACACATTTAAAAAGAAAACAAATGCCACATATTCAGTCAAAACACAGTAACAAAGCATTGCACAGCCAGACCCGAGAGGTTGTAAATAACTTCCATTCATTTATGAAAAGTGAAGTGGCTGCAGGTCATGTATTGATGCCATCAAGAGAGGTACAAGAGATAGTAGTAAGGTCAACCGGAGTTTCAGAAAGAAGTTTACAGAGAATTCTGAATGAAGGTTCTTGATGTGTAAAAGAAGGCGCCATGTTCGGAACTCCTGGTAAACACCATTGTGCACCTAAACGGATAAGAAATCCAGATGATTTTGATATATCTGTGATTCGATGGACAGTGTATGATTTCTACACCCACGAAGAAACTGTGCCTACTGTGAGGAAACTACTTCCAAAACTCAGGAAAATCATAAATTTCAAGGGAGGTAGTACCAGCCTGAAATTGATTTTATAGAAGATGGGTTTTAAATGGAAGAAAATGTGAAATAACAGGGGCACCTTGATTGAGAGTGACGACATTAGGTCGAAGAGAGTAGCATATTTGTGTGCAATAAAGAAGTACAGGGAGGAAGGTTGGACTACAATTTATGAGGACGAGACCTTCATTCACAGCAGTCACACCAAACCTAAAAACTGGACGGCTGACACTCGATAAGGGTACATGGCACCTGTATCAAAGGACCAGAGGCTGATTATTGTGCACACGGGAGGCAGAACCGGCTTCATTCCCGGGTCATTGTTGATATTTAAATCTCCTCTCAAGACTGGGGACTATCATAATGAAATGAATGCAACAAATTATCAGAAGCGGTTAACAGAAAAACTTATTCCTAATTTGCTTCCAGAATCAGTTCTTGTTGTAGATAATGCCCCATATCACAACATGTGCAGTTTAATAAGGCGCCAACCAGCCAGACCACGAAGGCCAAGGTGATGGAGTAGCTTACAGTGAACAATGTGCCATTTCATGACGGAATGCTCAAAATTCAGCTCTATGCCATGATAAAGGCACATAAACCCCTGCACAAAAACTTTGTAATGGACAACATAATGGCTACACATAGACACATGGTATTTTGACTTCCGCCTTATCATCCAGACTTGAATCCGATTGAACTCGTTTGAGCTGATGTTAAGCAGTCAGTAGGGGCAGAAAATGTCTCATTTCATTTGGATGACGTGGCAAAGAAGCATGAGAAATGGTTCAGTGAATTTGGAATACAGAATTGGGAAAAAGTTTGCGACCGCACCAAAAAGAATGAAAAGGAATATATCAAAAAAGAGGGAATTAGAGAGAACGCTATAGAAAGAATTATCATCTGATGTTCTGAAGACAGCAGTACAGTGACTCCAGTGATAATGATACAACCTGAACTCAGGAAAACAGTGACTTGTCTGGAGTGGAAGTGTTAGGCGAATAATTAGTATTGTTTTAGGTTTATGTCTATTTTAATTTAACGTTGCTAGTGTAGTGCAGCATATTGTGAGTAAATCAGTTCATCATAATAAGATGTTAAAAAGCCTGAATTGTGACTGATAGGACTAAAGTTCCAGTTAAATTCATCCTGCAGTCAGAGAGCAACTTCCAACCTCACAAGTAGTCAGCCTACAAATGTTCTGTCTGCAGATGAAGTAAGTTCATAGCATAGACTCGCTCTCATGTGCTGACAGTGAAGGACAAAAAGTATTGGCCGGCCTGTAAGAGGCAAATTAAAACTTACGTATGATGTGGGCACAAGCTGACCTTAGCAAGGCAATGGAGAGGACATCAAGATGATCAAGATGTCATCCTTGACTCCAGTATCTGATGTATTATTATAACTATATCAGAGGACTGTGTTACATAATTCATTAGATTTTTGTACCATTACATTAAATACAACACAAAGCTGTCCTGTTTTTATTTATTTCTTTTCTTTTTCATATCTGTATGGGTCTGGAAATATTTTTATGTTTGAAGAAATTTTGGAAACTACAAGCTTATGTAATGAACATTTTCATTCAGTATTTCTCTTTGAGTGAAGTGTAATGTGTTTTACTCAGAGGAACTACCAACCCATCATAAAACTCCAAACAAGCAAATGGCTAATGGAGCTAATAACTGCCACCCCACTGCTGACAAATCATAAACAAATCCTCATACATGAACTGCTAATAACGTCCCTTAATTCCGAATGTTATTGGCCATCAGGCATGCTGATTCATAAGCAAAATTCATATGTTTCCCCCCTGCAGAAGATGGCATACCCAGGACTCTACAGCAGCATCTAGGTGAATTACATGAAATGGAGGTTTTCAAGGCCAGCAGTGGACCAGATGAGAAAGTGGAAGGTAACTGAATACAAGAAGTAGGTGCTGGTGGTGGTGATGGCAGCAGGAGCAGCAGCAGTAGTAGTACTGGAGGAATTCCATTCTCCTTCTAACATCCCAGTATATTGTGTCATGTAAGCGTTTACAGGAAATGAATTGGCAGACATGTTTCTGCAGAATTACGATTCTTGGACACAAACCATGGATATGGGAATGGAAGGTAGACTCTTGGGGAAACAGCTCATTGCGATGGAAGCAACAAATGCTTCCTAGGATACGAGTAAGCAAGAAACATCTCCTAGGAAACCACAATGCTATATAAGGACCATCCAGGTAAGAACCGCAGCAGTCACAGTAGAAAGGAGAACCAAGAACTAAAGTATTTGTAAATCAGAAGGCAGCTGTAAATTAACTCTGAACTAAGTCAGTCACAGCAGAAGAAAGACTACAAGAGAAGACAGTAATAGTCCAGTCAGAATGGAGCGAGTCTTAGGCAATCATTTATTGTGAGCTGTTGTAATTGATTGTGATTACAAGTAATTGTATTAGAAGGTGTCAATAAATCAAATCATCGAGTCCAAAACCTGTTATTATTGGTAGTGGAGCCATAAACACATGATAGTATTTTCACAATATTATTCTCAGTATCTGAAAGAGTGCAGTTTTGAAAATGATCTTGAGCCAGTGTGTAGTTTTCCTTATTACATAAAACACACATTGGAGATGGAAGTCAGCTTGAATGGTTCCTTATATTCTTAATTTGGCAGTGTGAAGTGTTAGTTTACATGCAGATGTTTGACTGTTCTTTGATCCCTTCTTTGCTGAGTAATCTGCTGTTTCATTATGGACTACAACACAAGATGCTATCCACTGAAATATTATATCCTTTTGAAGGCCTTTCAACAATTTAATGGATGAATGCATTTCTGTTATGCTTTTACTTGGAAGTGCATTAAATTTTGCTATTGGCTGTATTGCTTCAATTGAATCGCTGAATATTGTCACGTGTTGGGTATATGTCACGCAACAAATAACTTCACGCCATATTGGATATAGCGAATTTATTGAACACTCACTCTTACACTTATATAATTCACAATCTCACAGCTACTGCCATCAACAGGATCACAAATTCTTCTCCTGTAGTCATTTCCATGCACTCGATACACCTCTACTCAGCGACTGCTAGATTGCAGCTGACTGGTTACTCTCTCTCTAGTAACTCACTCCTCCTGAGTAGTGTTCGCTGCTCGGCACGGACAACACAGAAAACAGTTACATGATAGGTACCACTGTTGCATGACGTGTTTCCTGATTGCCTAGCAACAGTCGCTGCATGGGCTCCCCTGCTGCATGACGCCATGTCTACAAAGGTGTTGCTGGGGAATGCTGCTGAGAGTTGTTTATTGCTGTGTAGCAACAAACGCACTTCAGCTTGGCTTGGCTCTACTCGGCATGGCACTGAGAAACACCACTTTCCTTACTGTTGTGTAACTTGGCAACCAACTGTTTATCAAGGGTCTAAGAGACATCCTTCAAGAAATTCTCAGCTTAGGAAAGTGATCAGAGTTATTCAGTCCTTCTCCAAAGAAGAGATTCTGAAAATGAAATATAATCAGCCACTAAACCCAACAGAGCCGATCACAGCGGCCGGGCAGTCTATGACATGAAATGTCTTCACCTGCTCAAACACTTGGATCGCGGGTTCAAATCCCACTCAAGGCATGGATGTCTGTCTGCATTTATTCCATGTTTTTGTCGTCCTGTGTAGGTAGCAGCCTTGTGTTGGGCTGATCCCCCATCCAAGGAGACTTACTGACTAAGACTGAGAAACTGAAGTAAAATGAAGTGTTTCATGGATGTCATATGCTTCAAGTGGGAGGAACAGGAATGGATGGATGCATGCATGGATGGGTGGGTGGGTGGACAGATGGACAGATGGCTGGATTAGATAGGTACCCCCTAGAGGAATACTGGCAATTGTATGTTCACTTTGAAAATGTGACTCTACAGTGTGAGCAACACTGAAGGAATTTCAGACATGCAAATCACCAGGTAAAAAACTTTCCTCAACAGACATGATAAAAATAAATATAGAAATATAACCAACATGTGTTTAATCGTAGAATGTAAAGTTTTTTATTTCAGCTACACCAAGGAAGAAGAGGAGATGTGTTAAGAAGGAGAAAGATGTTGATAAATCCACAACAGCCAGTATTACAGGTTAATCTGAAAAGTTATCCTCCACGAGCTAGTTACTGTAGACAAAAGCTGGTAAGAGGAGGAGTGAGTAAGTTCTTCAAAAAGAATCCAACATGTAATCATCAGGTAGATATAAAACATCACTGTAATGGACGGGACAGAAAATGCTGTGCCACAGCAATCTAAATTGTCTAACATACATGTCCTATCTACATACATAGCCACCACAAGTGATTTTTGAATGTAATGATTATAAACTGCTAGTTATAAAAAAAGTATAGAATCAGTTTTACTGTATCATAACTGCTAGAAGGAAACTGGACTTATGAACAATGACACTGCTAAAAAATTTAAAACACATCTAACTTATGTAAACAGGGAATAAGTATTAATTATTAAGTAGCCAGCATGTAGGTTCAAATTCCTCACGAAATGGAAAATATGGCTCAGAACATCTTGTAAAATAAATTTTAATCTATGTAATTTATAACTATAAACAGAAATGACTTACACTTTTGGGATCAGGAAAGGGATGGAAGGGAGTGTGATATTTGATGTGACTGGTTGTTCTTTTTTATTGTTTTCATTAGACAGGCAAATAAATGGCTTAATGTGTGCAACTCAGAAGAATTAAAGAGAGCTTTGACAATTGGTGAATAAATGCTAGTAACAATGGCTTTCTGAGAACATCATTGAGAAATCACATGTCATCTGGAGTTGCTGACAAAAAATTAAGCATCTGTTTTATTGATATTCTCAGGGGGGAAAATGGTTTACAGAAATCAGCATACCAAGCAAAGTTTGATCTGTGGATGTGTTCTGAAAAATGAAGCTGAACTTAGAATTATTTCTAAGAGAAACAAGAGTGATATTATTCTCAATAAAAATAATATAGTATATTAATATATTAGTATGAGGGCTATTCCCCCTCGTTAGTGTCTCCACCTTATCGTGGTGAGGGGGTTTGAGTATGCCAAGGACCCTGAGAGCTATACCAGCGGTAGCGTAGCTACTGGCAGGGCCTCCCTTGCTGGACAGGTCAAAGGGTAGGCATCAGATGAAGAGAGACACCAAAAACCAAAAACTGATGCAGGAAGCAGTGTCATCAGCAGCGACTTGAAGCACAGAGCAAATGATGCTCGAGATGGTTCAAGTTCGTATAGCAACAGGCGTGACCAGAGTGGTTTGAAAGGCTGTTGTACTGCGATGTGGAAAGCAAATGGAAAAACTACGACATTATCACTTTTCCTGGATGGTCTCTTTCCAAAAACAGAGACACCATGTATGCAAACCAGAAAACAAGGAAGAAGATGTAAGAAGATGCTGGATGACTTTGAGGACAGAAGAGGATATTTTTATTTGAAGGAGAAAGCTCTGGATCGCATTAAGTGGAGGAACTGTTTTGGAAGAGACTGTGGACCTGTCTGACAGATTACTGCTGAATGAATGAATGAATGAAGGCTATTCAGAAAAAAGACCTCCAGTGAGCTGTTAACCAAGTAAGCAACAACAAAAAAAATTACATGTAAAAAACACAAACATACTTAAGCTACTTCTCAACATAGCCACTGCTGGAATTGAGGCACTTGTCATATCAGGGAATAAGTTTTTGTGTACTTGTATCAAAGAAGTCTGCCACCTGTGAGCTGAACCATATTTTGATACTTTAGCACGGCCGGCGCGTAAGGCTGACAACCTTACCGCCATCTTTGAGCTGACTGTCTAGATAATGTGGGACCCTCAACGTCTCACATCCCTATGGGCCTTCATGGCCTGTTAAAGGGATAGCTTTACTTTTTACTTTTACATCAACTCCTCATTACTGCTGAAGCACTGTGATCACAACCAGTTCTTCAGGTAGATAAACAGGTGGTAGTCACCTGGAGTGAGATCAGGGCTATAAGAAGGGTAGTCAAACAACTCCAGTTGAAATGCTACAGCAATGCTTGAGTGCGAGTGCCTGTATGCAGACGCACATTCTCATGGAGGAACACTAACACTACATCGAATGTCAGCATTCCATGCCTTTTGTTCTGAATAGCCGACCCTATGCAGTTTTTTTCCTTTTTTAATGTTTCACAATGCATTTCTGACATTTTGGTCCCTTGATGCATGAATTCCACCATCAGCAGTCCTTTCCTGTCTCCGAAAATATTTGCCATCAGCTTTCTGGCAGGCAGACATTTGTTTAAACTTTCTTGGCTTGTTTGGTGAATGTGTGTGCATCCATTGCTTTGACTGCCCTTTAGTTTCAACATTCACAAATGAAACCCGGGTTTCATCATGTCTTATTCATATGATAAGATTGAGAAATTCATCACCATCTGTTCAGTTCATTTCACCTTATTGTAATATTCCATCAATCAAGAACAAGCTCTAAAAAGTCAAAGCTGAAGACATTCTCTGTGTTTTGTGTGCATTTTCTGAATCCATCTTGTGCAAAACTTGTGATAGCCTGGCCTAACTGTGATCATCTTGTAGAGAATGGTGCATTAAATTTGTGGAAATTCACATGAACATTATGAAATTGTGAAACGTCGTCTTTCATAAATTCTTTGGTTAACACTTTGAACAAGATCACCACATTGTTCTTAATCGTGAACATTTGCTCACCTGCCCAACTTTGAACATTCTACACCATTGCGTTACAGTTCCTTAACTTATTACATTTTGGTCATAAACCATGCATAATTCGCGATGGATTTCCGCAGCACTCATGCTTTTTGCGCGGGAAAGCTGGTGACAGTGCGAATTTCGCAGTTGGCTGGATTATCAATCAAAGGAACATCACAAAGCTTTACAGAGACAAGAACAAACACTAGTTGACCAGTTATGTGATGGGGTAGACGGCAATGAGTCATGTGATGCAACCTCGCGTGCGGGGCGTCTCCTGGCTCCTATAATAGTTGTCTAAAATAAATGGAAGTTACTTTCGAAATAACCCTTGTGGTTTAATTATACAATGCTTTTACAACCACACAAACCCTTTGCCATGAAGTGAATAAAGTTTCAACCAGCATGTTTGAATTTCCCACCAGTGTATGAACACCGGAAATATATTGAAAATAGAATGTAAAGCTTTTTACCGACCATGCAGTGTGGTTCCTCATGCACCGGTGCGGCTGTAGCTATGTTTGGTCACTGGCCCAAGAGGACCTGCATCCGTCAGAGGAACCATGACCACCACATAAAGCAGGCCATGAAATGTAAGTACAAGAACTTCAAGTAGATGTCGTTAGATGGAACCTGCTTACTATTACCTGTGTTATCGCACAAGTAGATAACGCTGAGAGTGAGAAAGAGTGTGTGTGTGTGTTTGTGTGTTGGCGTCTAAGCTCTTTGGTGTACGGCTGTTCTCGGTGGCGGTTGGAAAGTGTATGAGGTCATGTGGTGGATTGTCAGAGTGAAGTACGGAAAAAATTAGAATACGTGGAAACAATTTGCACACATGTCTGAGAAATCATTGAAGTTCATGTTATACTCGAAATTGAAATGGTTGAGTATTGTTACCTTAATCATTGATCGACTGAAAATGTTTACTGGGTATGCGCAGTGAATTCTAATGACAATTTCCTTTCTACCCTCGGAAATAACTATGTTTTCCATTCTTCTACCGGGTAAGACTATTTATTCTTTATTGGAATTCAGTTAAGACCTAAGTAATGAAGGATGGCTCGCAACGTGGGGAAAGGAGGGCTTTGTGGCGTGGTTCTTAGGTCGTTTAGCAAGCGTCAGTCAACTATGCCAGAACATCCTCTCAAATCAGGAATGGGTAAGCAAACATAACCTGTTAAAGTTGAATAACGCATTATATATATATATGTATGTTATATACATAGGCACTTATATTTATTTATGGCATTTGTAAACGTTATATATCTGCAGACTATACTTATGTATACGATAGGTTTCGACCAAATTAAAATAGAGAACCTTTTAGACAGTAAAAACACAACAAAAATTATGTGAAAGAAAATATTCAACATGTATCTGGTACACATATGTAAGTGTACATAGCGAATCATCATATGTCTTCCTTTGTCTGCATGCGTGAATATCATGAACGTCTTGTTCAGCAGACGATTGCTAGCAGAAGAACTGCAATTGGACAGTGATGGAGATGCTGTAGACGTGATTGGTTGGATGGCGATAGCGCGCCAAGCAGACGACAGTTGAGAGACGGGTTCTGTAGACCATATGAGTAGTCGTGAGGATGCTTTGTGGGGATAAGGTGGAGTAGAACAAATCTGTTGAAATATGGTGTTGTTTGGGCGCAAACGGCAGCCTGATCGACGGGAACTTCTCGCAAGCATGGATCAGATGGCAGTGGGCAAACCAGTTGACAACGGTGAGTTATCAAAATAATTATTAAATTGTTATTGCAAACCAGTCGACGTATAAGCTGATTTCAAATGTGCGCCTTATCTTCTAATTACTACATGCTGTCGAACGAGAAATGTGTGCAGTGATTGTAAATAATATAATAACATTTAAAGCTTCATATGTGAAAAAGACAGTGTTTCAAGCAAAGATCAGTACGGAGCTATATAGTTAAAAAACAGCGTAGCGTTGGGCGTCACAAGTTTGGTACCCATTATTATCGACTTGGGGTTACCACCTGTTGACATTGATGTATGCTAAATTCGGAACATCGATTGCTTAGTGGAAGAGGCTCACACGCAAGGCAGGCCCTGGCGCCACCCGATCGATGCTGCAGAGATTAGTTGTTGCGGATTGTAAATATAAACTGGGGGCCAAGAAGTAACATTAGTACAGGGGCTTGCCATGGGTAAGTGATCCTAGTTTATGGGTCTAGTTCTTACGTGTATCCGAAGGATGTGGTCACTTGGTCTGTTAACTGCTAATACATATGATTTTAATTGTTTTTATGACACCCACGACCATTCTAGGAACGTATGAAATCCTACAGCCACATTTTTTTGCCCACCCTTCACAGATCATCAATGACCTGTCATTTTTTGTTGTACGTTATACAAATTTTGCAGTTAATACAATACTGTTAAATGAACCAAAACACATCCAACCTCGTTATTCAATGACTTCTCTCGGGGTGAAGCGGACCGAACCTAAAGCCGAATCTTCGGAGGTTTTCGGAGGTTCGTGGAACACGCCTGCATACAACATTCTGCACTGTCGGACCAGCAAGCACATACCCATTTGACAGTTGCACAGTTATCGGCCTATTGACCTTCACATGACTCCAGGCTACTGCATGTAGTCGTGACCAAGTTTGGATTATGGAGGCTGTGGTTTTTCATACTCTTCTTGGTAAAAGGTACAGTTGTCCCTGTGCTTAACTAATTAAGCACTACGCCATGAAGGCGTATGGGGGGTGGATTATAGATCCGCATTTTCTTGACCTTCGCACTAGATGGAGGTGAGTGGTCAGCTTCACGCCCCGGGCGCTATCGCTGATTTACACAATTTACAGTTCACGGTTGTACACGCACTAGGATTCTCAATTTTCACTAGTCGTCTCCTAGCAACTGATCTCAACGCAGAAACTAGCATTTAAAGTCACCATGAACTCTTCTCCGAATTCAACTAGACTCTTCTCAGCATAGTCAAAGTCACATTGCGACTGACGNGTTATCTTAATCACATTTATTACAGCGCTATCGCTGATTTACACAATTTACAGTTCACTGTTGTACACGCACTAGGATTCTCAATTTTCACTAGTCGTTTCCTGGCAACGGATCTCAACGCAGAAACTAGCATTTAAAGTCACCATGAACTCTTCTCCGAATTCAACTAGACTCTTCTCAGCATAGTCAAAGTCACATTGCGACTGACGGTAAGTCAGTCAGTCAGTCGAGCCCAGTCTGGGTCTCATGACCAAATATTTATTACTGTTTGACATTTACGGTCTTGTTATTGTGGGGTGCCTTCTCTGACACGAGGACGGGTCAGAGTCATTGTCTGCAGTAGTAAGTCATTTGGAAGAGGAGTAGTGTTATATGGCCGCGGCACGGACAACGGAGAAAACACAGTTCTCCTGTTGCATAGCGCAGACCACACAGAAGACATAAGGATTGAGGTTATGTGATAGTATCAATGAAACAGATTTGCATTTCCACATAGTTGCGACTGTTGTGAAATAAAATAAATACAAAACATGAAGAATTTCGTCTTCTGGGATGTGGCGCCGTGTAGATATTTTGTTAACCGACATTTCGGAGGAACATATCGCCTCCTTCAGGGTATAAGATATCCGCGAGCGATGAACCAGACACCTACTCACGCCGGTTCATCGCTCGCGGAAATTTTATACCATGAAGATGGAGGTGATACGTTCCTCCGAAACGTCGGTTAACAAAATATCTACACGGCGCCACATCCCAGAAGACGAAATTCTTCATGTTTTGTATTTATTTTATTTCACAACAGTCGCAACTATGTGGAAATGCAAATCTGTTTCATTGATACTATCACATANTAGCGTCGAATGTTTCGATATAATGAAAAATTAATCGCAAAGGATATGGAAGAAAACGGCCGTGGCCTAATTTAAAGTACTGCCCCGGTATTTGTCTGGAGGGACTGCAGAGAACCACGAAACACCCAGTTAGGATAGTCGGTGTCCCGGCCAAGTTTTGAACCAGGCACCTCGCTAATACAAATAATAAACACTACCTCATTGAGCCAATTTGCTCTGTCTCATTATTGTTGTTGTTATTATTATTGGTGGTGGTGGTGGTAGTAGTAGTAGTAGTAGTAGTAACAGCAGCAGCAGTAGCAGTAGTAGTAGTAATAGCAGCAGCAACAATAGTAGCAGTATTGGTATCTAATATGTTATATTTTACATTGCTGGCAAGTCTGTCAATCTAAACTTGTATGTAAAGAAACTCAAAGCTAAAATGAGTAAGAGAAAGAGACCAAGCCAAAAGCAACATCTTCCTCAATGTATTTTTCACACTGCCGTGCCCTTTGACTTGTAACAGATGCGTAATCTATTTCAAAGTAGTGTCCTGGCATTCTCCGAAGGGGCTGAGGAAAATCACGAAAAAACACAGGTTGGTTGTTGTTCCGACCGAGACTCGAACCAGGAATTTCTCAAATGCAAGTCAGAAGCGTTACCGCTTGAGCGAACTTTCTCGACACGGCAATGTAGGAATTTCCGTAAGGCTTTCTGCTTAAGGTTTAACGTATAGTTCTAGAAGTTCTAGAAATCCTTGCAATAAATTGACGGTAAAAGGAATGTTTCATTGTTGGAATATTTCTTTGGAGCTTCAGTAAACATTCTCAGAGGAACCCCGGAAATTCTTATAAGTTATTGAGTACTTAGCTTTTATTGATAATCCTGTTTACTGGCTCCTTGTTTAGAGAAATTTAAGACTGAACATGCAATTTCAACGATATTCTGATTGAGGGCCAGAAAACTACCCTTCACTGATTTTAAGTAGATATTCAAGGATTTTAAATCTTAAGTTCCTCACTAATTGAGCCCTTCAAGAAAAAAAGAAGTTTGTTGAGGAGCCTATAGTAGCCCAGCTGGCCAAGAAGCTCCCCCATCTTTTATAGCACACAGAGGTTCATTATAGGGTTCGCAAGAGCCCACCGCTGGTCCCTGTCCTGATACAGGCAACTTCAGTCTGCATCCTCACACCCTGTTTCTTTAAGATCCATTTTAATGTTATATATTTACCGTATTTACGCATGTATAGGCCGCACATTTTTTGCCAAAAATTCAAGAGGAAAACTGGGGTGCGCCTTATATTCGAAATATTCGAAATCACACTTCATTTAAAAAAAAATTATGTTCATAATTAGTAATACAGGGTGTTCTACTCCTGAAATAATATTCCAAGAAAATTATTTTTTCTATAATTTCTGTCTGAAAATTGTGCTGCGGCCTATACATGCGTAAATACGGTATTTATACTTTATGTATGCCTAGGTCTTCGAAGTGATATCTTCTTTTTAGTTTTTGCGACTGAAATTTTGTGTGTATTTCTCCTTATCTTTCCCATGCGTGTTACATGCCCCGACCACTTCATTCTCCTTGGTTGTGTATTCGCAGTAATATCTGGGGAAAATAGTCTCCAGATTATGGAGCTCCTCTCTGTGCTCTGTGAGGCTGTAGTGTACGAGAAAGCGCACGACTGCGCAGGGCGAGTAGTTGGCAGTAAATATGAAATTACAAACCAGCTCATCCACAGGAAACTTCAGGAACTGTTTCCGGACCGTAAGTGTCTAAAGTTCTAAGAATAAATTTATGATTTTTCGGGAGCGTGTGACAGTTCGAGTTATTTAAGGATCGTTTCACTGAGCTCGCGCAGGCGTCTGCGCCGAGACGTTTATTCTTGAACGACGACGTCGTGCTTTCATTGTAGACACTTTCGAATTATATTTATTGCAGGCGGAATCGCTTTAGAAAACGGCGGTCTCAGAACGGGTCTCCTTTCCTTCACATCGCATTCAGAGTTCGTAGCATCGGCTGAAAAATAATGCCAGTAAGTAATTAAGCACTATGCCATGAAGGCGTATGCGGAGTGGATGTATAGATCCAAGTTTTCTTGACCTCGACGCTAGTTGGAGGAGAGTGATCAGCTTCACGCCCCGGCCGCTTTACCCCCGTGGAAAGGGCCCCCGTACATGTGAACCCGTTGCTAGGTAACGACAACGAAATAAGCGACTATACAAAAACCATTGTTAGGTAACGGCTCCACCAACAGACACGGAGGCAGAAGTTTCACAGCAACAATTGTACTGCAACAGAGGAGCGGTGTCTTATACGTGGTCCGTTCC